GCCCACTAGCTTTGGGCGCGGATTCTCTTGGCTACCACATAACAACAACACGCACGACTACATGACAAGGAAGGGCGCGGACTCCCGAACACACGCACGAACACATGCACGGCGAAGCACATGAACTCGAACCGAATACACCAATGCTTAAACCTTGAGCACACAGCAATGGCAAACGATGCGCACGGCTATGTTCGTGACTTGAATAAAATCCGAACAATTAGCTAATTTCGTGATTAAGTTAAATTAATCACGTAATTATGTTTAATTATCAAATCAAACATAATGCTTAACTACCAAAATTATTTCGAACGTAAACGGTACGTCGAAAATAGTTCCGGTAATTTCGACTGAAATAACTGAAAAGGATTAATTCCGAAAAATAATATCGGAACTAAAATATTATTATACTGATAAAAGTCGGGATATTACAGCCTCATTATGATGTGTCGGGCTGAATGTTAAGATCTCATTGGGGCCACCCTGCTGCGGCTTCTTTCTCTGAGGTTTCACGTTGGTATCTTCATCATTGTCGACGCCATCCTCAAAACGGCCTCCCTTCTTTCTCTTCTCACCAGAGTGAGTAAACTTCTTGACCTGTGGGTCGTCAATCAGCTTAAGCAATGCCGACATCAAGTTGCGTCACTGGTCAGTATTATGTCCGTGCGCCTTGTGATAGGTGCGCGCAATACAGGGACTTGTCCACCTTGTCTTTATCAGTGAACATGGGCTTTGGGTCTGGCAGCAACCCTTTGGTTTTGATCTCTTCATAGACAGCGGCAGAACCTACCGAGAAGACACCATGATAGCTTTCTTTGAGCTCCTCAGCCCTTTGCTTCCTCATGGCTCGAACTTCAGCTAACAATTTACTGGGCTTCCCTGACTTCTCTTCTTTGTTTTTGCCTTTGCTCGGCGTGGCGTCCAGTACCAGGATGGATGAATATTCCTCAGCCATAATGTAGTTTTGGGCTCGGACGAGGAATTCTTGGTAGGTGGTGGGCTTGTTCTGGCACAGGGACCACTTGAACAGCGTTTTTGGCTTCAAGACGACCTGAACCGAGATTAACAATGCTTCTGGATGACACTGCTCCATGTTTTGAACGCGGTCGTTGAACTGAGTAATGTGGTCTTTCAGACACTTTTCCTCGCCTTGGATGATGTTGGAAATGGATTCCTTGGGGGCAAGGTTGATCTGCAACCCGATGAAGTGTGATCGGAACGCCGACCTGAGCTGT